AGAAGAATTTCATTATTTAATTTCAACATTGGGCAAAATCCTGCTACTACCTATCTATATAATTTTGTTCAGGTTTCTAGATGTGGCCATCACATCTTCCTCAAAAACTGGCTGTAGGAGGCTGGAGTTTTCAGACTATGCTTACATCCTTTGCAGATTAGAAATAAATTGCTGTATTTTTAAACTGTATTAAAAAAAATCTCAAACAGATGCTTCATTCAAGAATGAACACAACATCTGAATCAGACTGATCTAAGATGCATGAAGCTGACATCACAACAGATTTAATCAAAAGTCTGAAGGAATTAGTGTGCATTAACCAAAAATTTACAAAACAGTGGAATCAGCATTCACAAGAATATTTGTCCTTTAGGTCAACAAGAAAAGAAGAATGATGTACCAAACATTTGGGAAGAAAAGGTGTTACACGATTCCTTTACCTCCAGATGCTGGCATACATATAGGAATCATTAAACTAATACATCATTTTCTGTGCTGAGATCTGCCCTATACTGCATCAGGAACTGTGTGTGTGCATGACTGTAGTGCAGAGGGACTCTAGTGCATGACTAGAATTTCTACAATTAGCTATATTACCAGAGGACAAAAATGGTACTGTTGTTCCCCCCAAGTGTCTCTAGTCTCAATACAAGAGGTAGACATATTAAAGAAGGGAAAGAATACCAGACACAGTAAGACAATAAGAAATAGCTGACACACCAGGAACACCAGCAAAGAGCTGCAACACGATCCTACAGTTAACTTATCTAACTCCTTGTACAAGGAAATGCCCCATTTCTCCAGACTGCTTCACTTTACGGGGATTTATCCAATGTTACAGCAAGGTGAAGAGATCGAAGCAACGAAGTGGATTTCCATTTCATCATTTTACTAAAGAAATTTGGTTGCAGGAGGTCAGAAGATAATCAGTAAGTACCACACCAGGCCCGTGTGCTCAGTTTTCAGAAGTAGAGGGCACAACTGGATTGAGACAGTCCCAAGCTAAACAAACAACATTATCCTCAGAAAAATCAGCAAGCTCACCAAAATCACCTGAATCAAAGGGCTACAAAGTCTGATCAGCCAACACAAAGACTTACAAAAACAAACATTTAACTTCAGGAGTCTATCAGGATCACTGATATGAGCAAGTTCATGGTCATAGGACACAACAGGATTATTTTATGCACTTTTTAATCCGAAGTTCCAACACTCATCCCACATATAAACAATCAGAAGGGAGGATCTGAAAACACATGGAGATGAAAGAGAAAATGATGCTTTCTGTTTGTGCCACAGCTGTTGTTAATCTATCTGCAATGAGTCAAGGATTGCTGTTTTGATGGCTGTTTGCTTTGTTGGGGGCACACCGGGGTGCACAGCAGGGTAAGGAGCTATTGGGGATGGGGGGGGGAGAGGTATGGACTTCAATTGTAAGTGAAACAACCACAAGAGCAGAAGATTACTTGGTTTTGGCTGTTTGTACTCCTCTAGAAGCCTGAAATTTTTTTGCCAAAATAGATGCTGAGCACTTTGAGAACAACATTAAGGTATTTAAGAAAAAGCAGTACACTAATTCTAAACCTTTATTGCTAAATACAGACTACTTATGCCCAGCATTATCCTTATTGTTTTGAAGTCACCAAGATACATTTTGTTACTTCAGGCTCACCTGAGGTTTCTCCACTAGAGCGTCTATTTTACAAAAACAACCCAAGGAACAGTTTGCAGCAGGCAGTAGCATGAGAGATATCTGACACCTTAGCTACTGAATATTCAGAGTTCTCTGAACTGCACAAAGCGGTATGTTTGCTCTTCATCCCAGCTTGTCTTTTCATCAAAGAGATTTATAGCTTGCTCCAGCCCTCCTATTCTAGATTCAGAAAGAAATATGCATAGAATATATCATTCTTAAACTGAAGAACAATTTGTGTTCTCTTAGTACATTACTGACCTCTTTCCTGTGAAGAAAATGAATTTATAATCAGGATTTGTACATACCTGGCTCATTAGACCACTGTTTTACTAGGATATTCTCCCCACATTACATTAAGACAACATTAAAAAATGTTATAAAAAGAAATCCAGTTACTTACTACAGTTTATCTTTGATACAGCAAGTGAACTTATTTTAAGGCTACTAATGCCTTTTAAAAGTACTGAAAAGTCCCACATATTTTCCAGTTATGATCTTTTTTCTCTTGTCAACTAGTGAATGGCAATAGGGACAAAAGAACTCTTAGCACTTCCTTTTCAGCTAAGGCATCTTACCTGCTGACATGGCTATTAAGTATTTGTCAAGAAAGTAAACATTTTGGTAAGTCTGCAGAAACAACAAAAATTCAGCCTTTAAAAGCACCTTGGATAATAAGAAAAATCATGTAAGCAAATGCACAAGTTTCTGGAAAGGGCAGGGGTGGGAGAAGCATGGCATGCACCAAAAGCATTCTTTCTACATAGAAACAGTCACATACAGGGGGAAAGAAGAAGCATCACCTTGGTCAGCAAATGAGAAGGCTTTCCTGCAATGTTTCTCAGAAGGAGGGAGGTTTCCCTGTCCAAATAGGAGTGCTTGTGCAGAAAGAAAGAGAAAGAACATAAATCAAAGGAAGTCAGTATAGTAATTTTATAGTGTCTTGATTACAGAAGATAAAGCAGAGTTTAATAGAAAAAAACCCTACATCATCACTTTATTTCCCTCCCATAAAAACATGAACATTCCCAAACACTATGAGCTTAACACTCTGGTGCAAAAGCAGTTGTGTTAATAGAGGACACTATTTTTATATCTTCAATTTTACAAAATGTCACACAATAGAATTAAGAAAACTTTTGCTTACCTGCTACTGGTTTCTTTTCTGCAAGAGAAAACTTATTTTAAAGACATTTAGAACTATAGAATTAAGAAAACATGCACTTACAATGCCTTTCAAAATCCTGTCCCGCCTTCTAAAACTTAACATTCTACTTTCACTTAAAAACTGGTCATCCTGGAGACAAGGAAATGGCTTCATGCTTTCTACACTGGTTGCTGCTTCATTGTTAAAGAAGATGTTGCCACAATATCATCAACCTGACTGCAATCAATGTCCTTGTTTTTGAAGGGCCTGAGTCTCTCTTCTCTTGTATACCCCAAATTACAAAATTACAAATCCCCACATTTCTCTTGGAAGATAAATAAGAAGAAAGTATATTTTCATCTGTTTAAAAAGGGGAAGTAAAATCAGTGGAGGGGAAGTTATCAGTAGAGAAAGGCAAAAAAAAAAAAAAAAATCAGATACAGAGTGATTATCTTCTCCAGCATCTGCTACAGACAACAAAACCATCATCATGCAGTGATCGCAGAACCACACAGTCACAAGTCTGCTAAGGGGCACTTAACAAAAGAGCATTAAGTACATCTCCAGTGTTCCACCACTGTACTACAAGTTTTGTCCCGTGTGGTTGCAATTGTCTCAGCTGGTCCAACGCTGCACTGAACAAGGCAGGACAACTGTACACACCTACCATCCTTTTGTTTAGAAATTAGCAATTGAGAATCCCTTTCTCAATTCTTCAGTGCCACAATAAGGTATGGTCTCCTGAAAAAAATGAAGAGCCCATGTCTACAACTTCATGCAAGGCAGAATAGTTTGGGGAATACAGTTCCTGCAGGGGAAGTTTACTTGATGTGACTTCCGTATGCTGGGACAGGCAATTAAGGATCTCAAGGAGGCTTTAAAAATTGCAGCTCAGAAAAGAGTCTGCACAGGATCTGAAGTGAAACCCAGGCTCCAACCAAGGTTCACCTGGTACTTAGCCAGTAATACAGACACGGGTTATTGTACACTCTGAATAAAGATTTTTCTGCCTGCACATTAATTACTGACTGTATCTACATCCTATGTTTTAGGAGCCCAGCAGGGCTGCCTAGCTCAAGCACACACTGCTGAGGTTTGTAGGACCTGGCAAAATTAAAAGATCTCAGTCACTATTTATAGTCATACTGAATTGCATCTTTTCCTACACAGCTCTAACTTCACACAAACTCAGTTTAGAATGCTCTCATTACAACATATTGCTACAGAACTTGCAGACTAAACTGGTTGGCTCAGTCTAAATCCAATGACAAATGTAACGAAACTCTTTTAAAGAGTTTCCTGATGAGAGTTCTTGAAAAACACCATGGACTCCGATTAATACGGATAGTTTTTTCTCGGTGAATGAAGCACTGCAATAGAAGGACTGTTACTATGTACATTTGTAGCCTCTTCCTAAGGGTTTAGGCACTTGCTGCCTTAGCCTATTAGTCATCAATAGTGTCAAAATTGAGAGAGAAGACTGAATCTTTCTTTAAAGGAAACACTATTTGCTGGAGAATATTTCTCCTACAGGGAAGCTCAAGGCAGGTCGATTAACCTTATTCCTATCTTTGGTCATTTTAGCTGATGCTATCTTCCATTTAAGTACAGTGGAAATTTTCTCCATTAAGAAGCTTCTGTTCTATCCAGAAACAGGAATGCCATGTATTTCTTACAATACTGGAAACTTCGCTCCTATTGCTTTCCAGACCTGCAACAAAATATGGAAACAGCTAACCGCAGGAGAGCTATTCTGGAAATCAGGAATGAAGGTATTTTACGGAAACAGGGGTTGGCCAGTAAAATGTGCAACAACAGTGTGATGATAACTACCTATGTGAATTTGAGATGAAGAGATAATATGTCTAGAAACAGGAAGGTAACAGACACCTTCCCCACATACCCAAAAGTTAGAATGAGAAGAAGCAGCAAATCAACAGAAAATCCCAAGTTCTAGAAATTACAGTCTGGTTAAACAATAACTAATATGTTATGCATACGTAACATTTTTTAAATATTTGACCTGCACAAACCATTAGATAAAGAAAAAAATTAAGTTTTATTTCAGAACGATGTGTTACTTTCACGATTCAGTTTTAAAGCATTTCATCTATTTCAAAAAAATACTTCAGCTCAAACAACAAGCTTTTAGGTAAACAGGTGCTGCTTTTTAATACAGGCTCCTAGATTATTCCATTGTTCAAGGGAAGATAAATATTTTGGGTTTTTTTTCTACATAGTACAAACCTCAGTGGACTACACAGAGGATCTAAATAGTCCACTCTTCCTCTCTACTTCTGGAGTTTAAATACGTATCAAAGCTCTGACTGGTCTTCCCAAATAAAAAACCCTACTTTTGTGCCCCAAGTACTTTCCCAGACTAAAAATATCAGCAATGAAATCCAGGAAAACAAACCCAAAACATTAATTACTCCTAAGTAGACATTTCTGGTCTTCTACCATGGAAAGCATCTCTTCTTCCACCTGCTTCTATCACAACGAGAACTCAAGCTTTGGCAACAAAGTGTATCACCTTAGATTCATTTAGGATATAAAACCAATTCCGATTACACAGAGTAGCATGTGCCCCACAGTGCCATGCTTTTTCTATCCTGCTGCAGTAAGCTGAGTGCTTCCCCAGCACAAGGCCACCATTTCTCATAATGGATGTTTTCAGTTTAAATTTTTTTTTTTTTAATTGTCACTTTGTCATATTGATATTTCACAGAATGAAATATCTTTGGAAGGCAAAAGTAGTTTGAAACATACTGAAAGTGTCAAAGTTTGACAACAGCTTCAGAGAAAACAAAACTGTGCAGTTCTTTATACTAAGCACGAAGTCACAGAGAAGCCAGACCATAAGTGTTGGAAGACTATTTAATTTGCTGCCTCCATTAAAATACTCAGCACAGCTAATTCAAATGAATAACACCAAGTCAGAGATCTGATGCCTGATTTACCAAATTCTTTGAAAGAACACATATTTCTAGGTCACACTTCAATAAGTGGGTAAACCCAAACAGTACATAACATGTGCACAGTCCAGAGGCAGCTATACTTCTACTGTAAGGTTTCTTTTAAAGCTGTATCTTTTATGTATAGGATTGTGTTCTCAAAATCCAGCCATCAGTAACAACCATACATTGTTATAAGTTTTTGTATAAAATTATTAATGCAAATGTAGTACAAATGAAAAAGCTTCCTAAAGTTACTTCCATTATATGTAGGAATAAAAAAGTTCACTTAGCAGATGTTAAACTTTTCTATGAAAAGAGGATCTATAAAGCTACTCTGTTGATATAAGAATTTTAAAGCCAACACTTAAAACATTGATATTTTAAATGACGAATAGGCAGCCAGACTCCACTCGGGATTCCCAGTTAAGCTAACACCACCACTACTCAGGCAGGACTCAAAACACCACAGCCCAGTGAACATCAGGAAGGAAGAAGTGATAGGGCTTTAAGAGGACTCTTAAGAGGCAATTTGAAATGTGTCCTCTTGCCACATAATTGAATCTGTCGATACAAACTGTGCTACAAGACTTTACCCCGGGAAGCCTGGACAGGCCGGATCACTGCCCAGTCAGTCATGCTGGACACTGAGACTCAGCAAGTTTGTTTTTTATGGAATCCTCAGAAGGTACCCTTCGGTCCCTAAAGAGCCAAACATGAAGCCTACCATCAGGTATCAAACATGCTTGCAGCTTCTTTTTGTGCTGAAATCACTTTTTTGGGGGACAACTTTAGGACAATACCAAGAATCTATTCACTTCTGTTTTAGTGCTTCCTCATAATACAGGACAGACTTTGAAATAAGTTGCCAGAACTCAATCCAGTTAAAAGACCTGGATATAGAAAAATAATGAAAAAAAAAAATCAGAAACAAAAAACCCATTTTATAAACGAAGCAGAAGCAGACATTGCAATGATGACTGTTTTGAACTGTGTCATACCATAACTCCTAGCAGCAATTGTTCTGAATCACACTGAAAACTACAGATGTTTAAAAATAAAAACCCCTCAAAATGCAAAAAAAGATATGTTGATCGTAAAATTAACTTTCTAAAAAATTAAATATATACCTTTCTCAAGGGATGACAAAACAGCTGTGCACAAAAGCACTTAGTGCAGACGCAATTTTACATTAAAAAATTGGGGTATGATGATCAAAATATCAAAAGTAACAAAAAGCATACAAGTAAGCCTATCAACATCTCCACAGGAAACTTTAGCTGCTATGGGTAATCATAACAAAGAAAACTAGGTTTGAGTAAAATTAACATTAACACTGAACAGTTCTAGATGCTGTTAAGACAAAAAAATTAGTAGTTTTCATGTGCAGTTCTTTCAGCAAAGACAGCTAGCCTTGATGTTTATAAAAATATGAAATATAGTCTTATTCCAAATTAGGTTTTGGAATTCAAAGATTTCCTACATCCTTTCTTTGCAGGCAGGAATGTAGCATCCATTATCTTCCAATCTAAATTCCAGACATTCACGGACCAGCTGTTGAAAACGGCATTTCACTGATTTCAGAAAACTCAACACAATACTCTTCTACCCATCACCAACCCTTCATCTATAAAACATGTTTGCTAAACACGATAGAACAGACTGGCTAGCAGGAAAATGAAAATACCTTTCAGATTTTCAGATTATAATTCATTGCACTAAACTAAATGACAAGTAATGCTCTATATGGCCAAAACCTCAACGTTTTCTCACCTATTATCCTTGTCAGTTCCATTATGAAATGTTGAGTGGGATGCTTTATTCTTGAGGTTCTGAGGTCTTGAGCCGAAAGTCAGTTTCAAAGAAATCAAAACTGAAATGATTTCTACACTATCACTGAATTACTGAGGATATTATATTTATTTTTTACAGCCAGAACTGGTGGGTGGATTTTAAGCAGATCCTTTTAGAAGAGGTGATAAACTGAGCTGTCTAGCCAGGTTCTGAAGCAGAAAGGCAGCGCAGCCCATCTCGCCATGGCAGCAGGTTCAGGGTAACACACTGTATTACACATGGACTCCTTTCTTCAACTCTACTTGCACAGTTTTGCAAAATCTTGACCAGAACGTTCATACTGAACTGATTCATTTTCTCGTTACACACCTGATCATCACTTTTAGTTCAGAAATAAGCAGGACCAGTTAAGAAAGATTCAACCTCATTGGTAAGAGACAGAGTTGTATCTAGTTGTATCTAGTTCCTCTAATTTTAAGGTAAGGGCCAAGAATACATGCATACAGAATTTAAAAACAGTACAGTACAGTCTGAAAGGTGTCAAATATGTTCTTTACACTGACAACTAACAAATAATGATCAAAATCCAGTTGGGAAGTGCGTGACCTGGCAATCTTCTCAAGTATTTTATCTTATTGTTCTAATGCCTTAAATATCTTACATAAAAAACCTCCTTTCATTTTAAATATTATCTGTAATAATATGGTCCAAAGGCATTCATTCAAGGTATGTACAACAGAAGAACTTATCTTAGTACATAAAAAAAAGACAACGACATACACACTGAGAACTTGTGCATGTAATTATCTTGCCATTGTTTCTTGCAAAACTCTTCAATAAGAGTTTAACAGTGACCCACACGTTTAATTAAACCAGCTGGTGGCACTCTTGTGCCACTATTCTGGATTCAATTTGACAGTTGAGAAACACTATAAAAGTCTTTTTTTAAAGCATCCTCTGTCCCTAAAAACAAACTAAAAATCAGGGAAACTCAGTAAACAGTGTCCAATAGAGAGTTATATGCTTGCAAAACTTTTGCTGAAAAGATAACTACTATAGCTTCCATTTCAACTACAACTACATTTAGACTCCAACTTAAGGAATTAGAATCCACTGTTTTCAAAACAGTACTCAAGAATTAAAGTTTAAACATATTTTTTGTAATTTTGACCCAAAGAGGGACAAAGGTGGAAAAGAACTCATATTTTTCTTTGCAAACACTTTGAAATGATATATTCATATGGAATGTATTCATATGCAAACAATATGATAAATATCTAACTCAAAATACCCATTTTCTGCTTTCCTTTGCAAAAGGGGTGCTTTAGCCTAGAGAAAAAGCGGTTTAGAGGAGACCTTATCACTCTTTACATCTACCTAGAAGAACGTGGTTGACAGGTGGGTCACAAGCAGTAACAAGAGACAGGACAAGATGAACTGGACTCAAGTTGCACCAGAGGAGGTTTAGATTGGATATTTGAAAAAAATTGTTGCAAAAGGGATAACAGTTTGTTCTTATCAAAACCTCAGAAAAGGAAAACAGACACTTAGAAACTGAAGCAGCAGCTTTAGATAACAGAGCTGCAGACACTTCCACATCCAGGATGTGTAAAGTTGGAAGGGACCACAGTGGGTCATCTGGCCCAACCTCCAGCTCAAGCAGAGTGATCCTAGATTTGCTTATAAAAAAGCTATACCACTAGGACAGCAACTTTCCACAATGGCTTACCATTACAGGATGATTACTAGTCATTTACATTAGACAAGTATTCCAAAGAAAAGAAAGGAAGGTGTGTGTCATTTAAAATACAGATGTTTTTAAAGACCTCTATAGGCTGACCATGAAATAGGTTATTGGCAGGGGCATCATCAAAGACCTGCTTTGTGCTGTCCCACAAGAAGAGACCCAAATTTGTCTGAACCTAAGCCTTTAGAATTAAAACTGTGGTCTGTAAAGTCTCAGTGAAGTCTGGAGCATCACAATCAAAAAAACCTCAAGGCTGCATCCTCTCACAGAGCACTGCCCAGCCCCTCAACTGGACTGCACACTACTAACCTTGAACCACACATCAGCCAAGATCGAGAGAGCTTGGGTCCATGGGGGGAGCACAGCTGCCTTCCGTAAACTGCAGTGCCTGCCTGCTGCACACACTGCAGCCTGACAAGGGAGGGGAGAACCTGGTGCAATCCCTCTGAGCTCAGCTGTGGCCAACCCTCCCTAGGCAACTCCATTTCACTGTAGGCAACTGGACAAAAAAAAAAAATTAAAATGTTGATTTACAGCAAGTATTTATTAAATACTAGGAATGTTTATAACTTCACGTCAGTTCTAACAGTTACAGACTAAACCTACTGAAGTTCACTGCCATTTCAGTAACATGTCTGTGGACACCTCAAATCAACAAACTGCTGCACTGTGTGCCTGAGATGCACTCCTCCCTAATTCATGCACCTGCCAGGTCAGGCTGTGACGCTCCCCTGCTGAACACCAGCTATTTAAGGTGGAGCAGGGCAGAAAGGATTGCAAAAGCTACTGAACACTTCAGTTCGAGCTTAGTTTCACTAGGGCTTTTTAGACATTTAAGACTAAACTGCCACAAGAAAGAGGCAGCCCTGTTGTTCTCACAGCCACATGTTCTCACATCTCCTGTGTGGACAGCAGTTATTTTGACCATGTGGTCCAACAGATCGATGAACAACTAATTCAGAAGGATTATTTTTCAGGGGAAGCTGCTCCAAATCACTAGGCAGCTGCACAAACAAGATGGGGCAAGAGTGCCCAATGCATTAATTGCATGGATCTAAACCAAACGTGAAATCTCAAAGTTTCTCCGCAGGGAGGAAGCTTCAAGCATGGAATTGTCCCAAAATAAAAATAAAAACAAATAAAAAACTGTTTAATAATAATAAAAACAACAAAATAAATAAATAAATAAAAACCCACAGGAAAAAAATACTATTGAGTATAATTTCACATAAAGTGTTTGTCTGATCTGTCTAAAAATAAAGATACATTAAGCGGAAGACCTAAAGAAGGAAGGAAGGGGAAAAAAACCCTCAAACTTAGTATACTATGATTAATTCATTCCTAACTGCATTAGTTAAAGAACATCAGACACTTTATCCTGAGAAGGGCTCTGTCTGTACCACAGAAAACAAAACATCAAAGAAGCTAAGAAATAAGAGTCCACGTAGGTTTAATTGGTTTGATTGGTTTTGACTAAATCTGCTGCCTGAGAGGCAACTGTATTAAATAACATTTCATTATATGCCTGTCAACTTTGAAACTATAAATTTTCCCCAAAATGGCTGTAGACATCAAATCACCCAAAGATCAACCACTATAAAAGAATGGATTTACCCAGCTGAGGAGCTAAAAGTCACAGATCTACCCTTTTGATTAAAAACAGATAAGTCACATGAAAGAAAAACAAACACCTGCATTCATAAAAGAAGACACTGGTTTAGTTGGTCTAAAATCTTATTCAACTTTAACAAAAATGAGACTAGTAAGTGTCCAACATAGGAAACTAATCAAAGCCTTAAGTTTGGTCAACTTAAAATGAAGACTTTTCTCTGTATTTGCACACAACTTGTACCATCCTCTAACAGATTAAACACTAACCAGCATGCTCAAAACTGACACAGCTACAAGGCCAGTTCTCAGTTACTTTTTTCAGAACAGGAAGTCTTATTTTTGGGGGGTTGAACTCCTTTACAAATCCCACAAACCCTAGTTTTCATCCTACAGGTCAGCAATACATGCAACTGAAAAAAACAGCATAAATTCTTTTCTCCTCTTAAGAGTTTAACGTTCCACAATTGGCAGTTGTGTTCTTAATTTTTGTCATCTGTTCCAAATTTGTTTTTTTGGCAACCTGAAGTAAGGACAAACAAGTAATCTGTTGCTAATTTCCTACAGATGTAGTATTTCACATCCCTAATCTAATCAAATGTTGCAGAAAAAAAAAAAAAAAAAGTCTTGGTTTTAAGCACACTGGTGTGTCTACAAAAATTGGCTGCTTAAAAAGCTCCATTAATTAATCACAACTTGTAGTGATATCTTCACTGGCAACTGCAAGCAGAGCATACCACATCCCTGCAGCACGCTTTTGACAAAACTTGGTAGCATCATAAAGCAAGACTTCTGATTTCTCCACTCAGATCTAGTGGCTTGGTCCAAGTGGAATGCCGTCCAGATTTAATTGGTCATTGATCTGTGGTATTTTTTCTCTTGCAGAGGAATCTGGTAAGAGATAGAACCTCTAAACAACCATTTTCCTAGCTTGTCTGTATTAATGATACAATTTTTTCCTCAAAAAATCCTTTTGTAAACACAGGTATTTTTCTAAAGTGCTGTGGAACAGGCATGAAAGCAAAGAGAATAATTTTAGAATGTGCTTATTTACACAGCACTTGGGACAGCAGTGAGTCATTCAGTTGCTCATCCACAGAAGACTCCACCACCACAGAATAACCAGAAAAAACAGTATATTTAGGCAGAGACAATGCCTTTGGTGTTCATACTTGCGGTAACGAAGTACACCATAACTGTAATTTTTGAGTTGATACCAGCTTTGCCACCCAGCAGTGTCAAACAGGACATGTATTAACTGTCCATTTTCCTGTTCCTTTCAGGGAAGGAACTTTTAAGCTTATTCCTCAGTGTGAGGCAAAGCTGACAGGCAATGTCAGAAGATAAGATTATTCTTACATGTTTCACAGTTCCTGCTACACTTCAATTAGTCACCTCCTATGTGGAGAAAAGTTACAGTATAAATTTTAAAGTCATAGCTGTAAAATAAGTCAGATACACTGATTGGAGAATCAAGATTTACCAGCAAAACTATAATGTTTAAATTCTTGTTTCCTTTTCACGTATTTTAAATCTATATACCCCAATTTTTAAAACATACCATTCCATGCATGTCCGGTAAATGAAATTTTTAGAATGTCTCCCTTAGATTCCAATTGAAAATTCTTTAAAAAAAAAAATTGAATTATCCCTTCCTTTAATTTGCTTTGCAGATTCCATGTGTGTAATGTGAAGAAAAAGGCTAAGGTGCTAGTTTTGCAGGCACTGGGAAGAGTGTATTAGCAATCTTTGGGTCCTAGTGCATCATGTGACAATTACGAATAGCCAAGCACATTTGATTACCAAAAAACATAAATACTGTTTATGTTTCATAAAATTATATGTTTACTTCAGAGAATGCTTTGAATGCCTCAAAAAATCTGGCAAGTGAGGACTAATTTTATATGTATTTCAAGAACATTTGAAAACTCGAGGGCTCACACTTCTCATGCCAAAAAAAATGGAAGCCAAAGTAATGCTGCAGGATGATAGATATGCACAATTTTTCTTTACTGTTGACTTATTAAAGAACACTTTGTGACTAATAATTGGAAAAAAAAGAAAGAGGAAAAGATGGTCTAATTGTGTTTCAAATTAAGTCTTTCCATTGACCATTTTCAGCTTAGGAAAAGGGTAACTGGAAACACTGCAGAATACACTTTGTGTACAAAACTAAGGACACAACACAACTGGCAGAAAATGAAAGGATTTTTTTTTTTAAAGTCTTTAGAAGAAACACAAAACCAGCCTCTGACATGCCTTGTTTGTTGCTTGTCCGTGACTACTCTCACAAATTGAAGTCTGACATTCTTCACATCTGCTAACTATGCAAAACATGGACCACAAGGAAAACTACTCGAACAATAAGCTCCCGAAACACAAGAGCCAATAATGTTCTATTCCTGCAAGAGCTAAAACAGACCACAACTGTTCTTTAAATCACCCACAAATAATAGGTGAGGTTCAGCAATCCAAATCTACTTTTAGACACCATTGCCTGCCAAAGATCGTATTATCAGTTGATTTCTCTGCAAACATTCGCAGTCAACTGCACTTTCACACAATGCAACATTTACCAATCTCACATAAAACATGACCCTCAGTAATTCTAAATGGGTACCAAAGTTTCCCTGTTAAGCCACTGTGTAGGCAAGTGAAGTGCCAACGTGTTACAACAACCATGGCAAAATTGCTATGAAACACAAACTCTGTTTCTCCTTGTGCCCCTCTCAAGTTTTCAATTTTCTCCACAGGAGCTATCAGCCAGCACAGATTTATCTATGTGTGCTGAGCTTACATGACAGTCCCTAATAATTGTCATGCCCCCAAAGCTCCCTTTTTCCCCCCCGAAAGAAACATTAATGTTTACTCTATACTGCTGCCTTCTCTGTCAAGTGAAGCAAAGAACTTGTAGCTGTAATGCGCTGGCAGTCAGTCCCTTGTCATGATTTTCACCTCTTTTTACGTCAAGCCTAAGCCTACAATGAATTTAAGTAAAAGCTAAAAAATGAAATACAATTTAAAAAAAAATCATGCAGCGTTACTGACTGCTACATTTTGCATTATCTTCATATGTAAACCGGAATCTCTCAGCTGTGCAAACTGGGTTACAGACATAAAGAACTCCATGGAATTGGGAGGGCGGGGGGTGGTGCTGTGCTGTGCCAGACCAGACGGCAGACTTCAAACTTATCTGCAGCCTCTTCTCTGAGTATGTGCAGGGCAGGAACGACTGTCCATGAATGGACCCTTTCACCCGTCAGACACAAACAGCTACATGAGCATCATCGACACATTTCTCTATTCTCTCCCCACTGCTTTCTTCTCCTATTGCTCCAGCACAGCTCACTGAAACAGAGACAACTCCTTGCTGGCACAGGGGCCAAAGGAAGAAGGAAAAAGATAATGTGGGTGGAAGGGACAAGTTAGTCATACAGTCATCACTTCCCCTACCTTTAGCTCATGCTATTACTTCATTTCGTCAGTCTACATTCAGGCAAAGTATCCCACATACAGAAACGAAGTTTTAAAGTGTATGCCGCTCACTATACAACTAAAAACATAGAAAATTAAATGCAATCTACCAGTTAAAGAAAGAATACTGTTCAAGCAAGGATCTGGGAAATCATTTTGTCAAAAACAAATTTCATTTTAACAAAAAATTATGGGGTTTAGGGTGGGGTAGAAACAACTTTTCTTCTTATTCAACAATGCTTAAGGGGGACTTAAGAACATAAGTGCGGTCAGAAAACACTTAGTACCATCAAGACAAGATCCTGAGACTTCAAAGCAACAGTCTTTGAAGACATTAATGTTCATAAAGAGATAATGGTCATAAAGACATAGTGTTGAGAACTGTTATTAAAGAAAGAAAATAAATCACGATGACAACTAATAAAGCCAAAATTTTAGACAACCCAGGGAATTTCAGTCAGCTCCTACAAAACTGGCATAAAGGTAAATTCAGAATGAGAACAAGGATAGTCCTGGCTAACAGAACCACTGAGAGTTATCATCTATCATCATGCTGCTGTATCTTCAACCACAGAAAGTTCCTACAGCACAGGCTGCTAGGAGGAAGAGGAAAACAAGACCCTAGGTTGCCTGTCCAAATGGGTGTATTCCTGCGCTCCCTTCCAGCCTCCAGCACTTGCTACAGCCCCAGTCAGACTTCTCTGAGCCCCCCCAATTCACCTAAATAACAAAGAATGAGCCCCAGAATAGCAGTAAGTTTTGGTATGTCAAGGATCAGTAAGTGCCAAAGTTGGGACAAGGGAGGAGATGAGACAGTGTAAGCAAGAATTGTGAGGAAGGAATGATGAGAGGAAAGAGAATTTATATCCTCCCATTTCTAGTGGTTGTGGAATTGCAGCCTTTTTCATGACATTGATCACTATTACCAGTCAGAAAGTATACTAGACCACACATACCTTCTGCAGGTCAGCACATGGCAGTTCTTTTACAGGACTTTCCTACATTTCCAGGTCAGAGAGCTCTCAAATACAGAGCAGAATTATTTTTAAAGATAAAATACTGAAGTTAATAACTGCAAAGCTTAATTTCCTTTTTCAGACAAGCATTTCCTCCCATCAAAACTGTCTTCCGTTTTACTTAGGAAGAGCATAACATCAAGTTGCAGAAGAAAGGATGACTTTTCAAAGTACCTCTACTGCCTGGAGAGGACAGAGAGGATCGGTCAAAAGGGCAGAGCTGCCAAGACACCGATCTCTTTGATAAGAGCCACGGCAGCAAAGAGAAATTTTAAAGGTCAGCTCAACTACAGGCAGTCTCAAGGAAGACAGGCAAAAGGGCTAACTCGAAGCACTATGTTAGAATAACAAATCTCAAAACAGACCTCCTGTAGCCATGAAGGAATAGCCTCTCCCACTTTCTGCATAAAAACCATTTGGATTTTTTCCCTATATGGGCACTAGGTCTTCTTCAAAGGCCATTTCCTCAGAGGGATGTTCTCTATTAGACACAGCACCTTTGAGTCAACTGTGTAGGTGGGAAGGTACAATTCAGCCCTACCAGGAAGAGGTGCTTTGGTTTACAACCCAGCCACGAGGATTAACAAACCCTTAAACTAGTTTTCAGGCACTAAATGAATGAAAAAGGAAATAAAAGCTTTGTTGATACCCAATGATTCTTCCAAATAATCCAGTTAAAAAGTGGATTTCATTCAAAAAACACTACCACAGAATCTGTCACAATCTCAAAAAACTGTTTTCCCCTTTTCCATTCACCAGTGATGAGAAAAGAAAGCTACTTCTCAGTACAAAGTCCCATCCCATCATGTAACAGTTTTCATGCTGAATAGCTGAATACCAGTTCTGTAAACCTGGGGAAAACGTCTCTGAGTTGAACACCTTCCTCAGGCTACTGAAATTCAAAAGAGCAGATTGAGCAAAAACAAAGCAGCACAGTTAATGAGTGCAGAGGTTTCTGCTCTAAAGAGGGAAGAAGAATCTGGCTCTCAAAAACACTTCTGGTTACCCTCTTCAAAGGAATCATTCTTATCAACTTATCTGGGAGGAGAAACAATAGCCACATTCTTATAAGAGAAGCAATCACTGGGTTTACAAAGGCAGTGCTCACACGTCCCTGAGAAGAGCCTTCGGGGATGATTTTGAGCCTTGCAGTCAGTGGCCAAGGAGCTCAGAAAGCAACTGAGAAAGCAACTGCAACACTTGCAACGATATAGATTAGCTTCCTGTAAAGACAAAGCCACTTCTGTCTCTTGATTCACCACCACCAAGTTACTCAATGAAGCAGGTGGTTTGTTGATTATTCATGGCAGAAAGAATTGGCCTATCACTCCTGAAATAAAAGAGAGAATCTAGAGGGAGACCTGCAAAATCAACTGCAGAAAACACTTTGCATTTCCAAAAATTAAGAAATGCAATTTTCATATTTTTCTTGGGCTTTGCAAGTCAAAGTGACTAATTCACATAAATCATCTTTGTAGCCTGAGAAGAGACAAAAATGCAAGGTTGCCTAACTTTTTACATGCCAAAAGATATATATAACCATGAATAACAGTCAGAGATGCAAAAAAAAAAAAAAAAAAAAAAAAAAAAAAAAAAAAAAAAAAAAAAAAAAAAAAAAAAAAAAAAAAAAAAAAAAAAAAAAAAAAAAAAAAAAAAAAAAAACCCAAAAATAAGCCTTGTCATAGCATAGAAAGAAAATGATAGACAAACAAGCAATATAATCAATGACAGCCATAGGCTGGCTTGAACACTTAGGCCTACAGCAATAATGCAAAGGTTTGCATTTTAACTTTCCAAAGAGCAAAGGACACATTTCTATCTATGTTTTTCTCCACTCAATAAAAAAAATCTCCAGTAAAAACATACTGAACACCAACTTTTTATACAAAAAGGAAGTTTAACTAAACCATCATTCATTAATTTCTCACCATTTCAAATAAAGATTTAAATTGAAGTGTGACCTTGATGAGTTGATCATTAGACTGACAAGCCTGCATCATTCACTCTACATCAGATGAACTTTTGCTGCAGATGTGCAGAACCATGCTTTCAGCACTGCTCATTCAAATTACTGTTAATTATTGATCAGAATAAACTCAGCTTGTTCCAGTTTTCTCTCGTCTAAGGGAACATGCATATTAGTACGCCTGACATTTGAGCAGGTCAGATTTCTGTTTAAGAGAATATTTCTCCAAGATAGTTTCTAGTTGAAGTTTTCAAAATTCACCATAACATTTTTCCCATTTCCTCTCAAGTAACCAGCATTTTCAATGTTCACCAAACCAGCTTTTTTTACTGAAGTTGCCTCTCTGATTAAGCAACATCAAGGCACCAAAATTCCAAATTAACATCTGCTATTGTTCTGTTGCAACCCAGTTGCTTTTCTGTTTTGTGCATTGCTTCAAAGAGGTCTCCCTTTCATAGAATTAACAAGAATATTAAGTAGCAGCAAATGATTGGTATAGTATAGCTCCAGATAGCCATTGATAAATTGCTCCATGTGTTTCGGGTATTAACTGTACTGTAAAAGGAATGCAGTTTTTCAATTGTCCCTTTTTTTTCCCACAGATGTGCACTCCTCAGATTTAAATTAAAAGCAATATATGAGATTTACTTAGAGTAAAAATACTAACTATAAAAACATTAAAATGCATGGTTGGCTTAGGAGGAAGAAGAAACGCAGAAAGCTCTTAAAAAAACCAAAACACGCTCTTTAAAAGAAGAGCTGCCTTGCAGACAGGACCAAAACCAGAGAAAGGAGCAGCTACAGCAAGTGCAGCCCATGCAATTAGCAATCTTAGTCTTTAATCTAGCTCACTGCACTGCAGATGTTTAGCCAGGAGCTGTATCATGGGGCATGGGGTGGGGTGGGCTGTCTAAGTTTGAAGAAAAAAAACCCAAACTGAACGAAAATCTTGAATTAGTGACACTCTACCTCAGTGATTGGTTGTCCCTGTGATGTCAAGTCCAGTTCCTGAGGTCTCGTCACCTTATCGATATCCAAGGAGTCCATGCTGGAAGCTGCAGAGGTCATGCTGGAGCGGGAGGAGTTGCTGATGGAGCGCACCTCAGCATCGCTCACCGTGCCAGCAGACGCTGTCCTCCTATGCTGAGCAGTAACCACTGCTTTGGTGTCTTCTGCAATGGACTGTTGGGCTGCCTCATCCATGCTCAAAGAGGCCTTCTCCAGCTGGGCGGTGATGTCATCCAAAGACACGTTGGCATGTGACGGTTTAGTCACCTTAGAGGAGGAGGATAATCCTTTCATGCTGCTGTGCTTAGCAGAAGGTCGACTAGCAGGTGGTTTCTGAGCTTTGGGTTCTGTGGCAGGACGTTTCACTGCAGCATTGTTTGCTGAATGAGACCCGAAGCTGCTGAGCTCCTGTTCTATGGAACAGAGATCAGCCATGAGGGCATCCAGATCCACAGTCTCCCCCTGATTCAGGGCTTCTGCAACAAACAACAGCTGTCAGTATGTGCAGAGTTATTTCATTTGCAACTCTTCACTTTGTGTTATCAAATCTAACAGTTAGGGTAAGGGAGTAAAGGAAGCAGCATTTTCTTTTCCCATCTGTATTGCAAGATCTCTGCTCACTGCTAAGCAGAAGTTTATTTGCACTGCTACTCTTGATCAGTGCACCTTTCACACTGTTAAGGTTAAACGCATTTGCCAGCAAAAGAAATCTACGAGTGTGCAGATTACGTTTGAGAAGTTAAAACTGCTTTCCTGTGAACCAATTTAAAAATACATCTGCAGAGCATCACCTTTTCAAAAAAGTGCAGGTGTTTTGCTAAACATTTGCTAAATTGCAAAAGCAATGCAACTGCTTTAAAAGGCAAACAAGCAAACAAACACTATATACATATTCAAGCTTTTAAATTAAGGTTTTCATTTGTAGCTGGAATAATTCTTTTTTCTTAAACTAGTATTTGAGGGGTAAATGATTCAACAAACCATTTAAATTGTACATGGAGAAGCGATATGAGAAGTTGGCAAGATTGGTTTCCTGACGGAGAGGTGATCTCTTCACTGGTGCCACAGGCTTGTCCGTATCCAAACTCTGAAAAAGATCAAAAAAAAGGGCAAAATAAAGTTTGACAAGGAATTGGACAAACAAATCTTTAAGATGA